TAGGAGCCGCAGCGCCGCTGAGTACGCGCAGTGGGGTGAGTTATATTAACAGAAAACTAACCGCTGGTTTATAACTAACTAAATTGATTTTAGTTTGCCAGAAATGTAACTTCAGAGCTGAATATAAGTTATCTGACAGACTAACGAGCTGTTTAATAGGGGGGCGCTTTGCGCTAACCAGACTACATGCAAATTTCTGTAAATTCTTGGATCAACACAAACAACCAGCGGCGTAATATTCCTATAATGATTAATTAAGTGGTGTTCAAACTTGACAGTGTTCCGGCATGGTTCGTGTGATACTCACACTGACATTAATGTTTTTAATCTGATATTCACACCTTCACACCAATCATTTGGAGCAGGTGTAAAACTGTGAATAGCAGCTTTCCATTAAAATACATGTTACCTCACAGGGAAGTCAAAGTCCTGCACAGTTACGGTGTCCTGTGCCTTCGCAGAGACACAGAGACATTGTTCAGTCAGCTGATGAAATGTGGAAAAATGCAGACCTGTTATTGAAACGGAACTTTCCCCCCTCAGGCTGTTCATCCTGTGTTTGAAATGCAGGGTTCATTAAATGTAATCCTCCTACCTTAGCATTAAACTGGGCTGCTTGTGACCTTAAACTAAAACGACCCCCGGTTTCGAGGTATACCGGTGGCTGGTGAGATTCTTTGGACTGAGCTTTTATTGGGGTTTCCCGGTATTCTGCTGTGCAGTGATATTTCTGGAATATTTATTATGTTTGTGCTTTTAGTATCCTTGATAAGTTGATTGTTGGTCTACTGTACAGAGATACTGCCTCTGCTGTGGTTTTGGTGCAGTATTTAGAGTGTTTTCTGCAGTGTACTTGTGGTGCTTATGTCCCATAATATTTCTGTAATGGTGCTTTAGTGACAGTGAGGTTAAAGTGCTGCTGTTTCTTAGGATAAATATGCTCGGATACAAGAATACTTTAGCCCTACTTCAGTACTAGATCCAAAGCAGTCATTGGTGCAGTCATAGCTGCTGTGACAGATTGGTGCTTGTTGGTGCTTTTCCATGAGTGCTGTCACACTTTAATACAGTGAAATGCAGTCTGCTGTGGCTCTGGCTGCTTTCATTAATCATTAAACTGTTTTTTGTGTGATTAATTGTCTAGAACATGCCTTCAGATCCTTTTTTGTCCTTCATTCGATGGTTTTCTCTGAGGAAATAGACAAACTCAGCAGCGCATGTTTTAAATATATATCAGAAATGTTCAGTTTTATAGCTGCTTCTAAATCATTGCCTATCATGATATTAATACATCTACCAAGCACTGGTATATAAAGAAAACCTCTTCAATTTATATATTAATACAAAAAATGAAACAGAAAAATCAGTTTTTAAGTCTTTAGTTTTCTTTAATTATTTTTTTAAACGACTATGTTACTTTTAGTTTACCTACTTTTTATAAGATTTCAGTAAACCAGACTACATTCAGAAATCTGTGAATTTAATCTTTTGTTATATAACAACTTGTGCCACCTGATTTTTGACCTTGCTTTACACTAAACGGAGTCTTCTAATAATATTCAAAATGGAAAGTTTATTTTTATTTTGTAAGATTGTCTGTTTTTCTTTTGGTATTTATTGTGGTCTGAATTAAATGGTACCACTTCTAATAAACGAGCTTCGTCTTTTTAGGAGATATGTTTCAATATGCTTCCGTTTAATTTGCTGCTTAGCGGTGCACACAGATTACAGCTTTGATTTATTTTGGATTCAGCACAGTCTCATGATCAGATCTGCACCCTTGAAACCACCAAGCAGTTTTAAAATGTGTCAGAAAGTTTCTTTGAATTTCTAAGAACCTGTCCAACCTCTGTGTGATTACTGTAAACACATCATTAATGTGAAGGTGCAGGGCTGTGAAAAAGGATTTGTTAGCTTCTCATTTCTTCGCTTTTTGCACATTTGATATGCCTTGAACATTTTTTAATATTAAACAACAATGAGTAGTAAATACAAATGATGATTTCCTTTATTGGGGGAAAAATGATCCAAACTTACCTGATGGTAGGTGATGATCTAAAATATTTAAGTAAAAAAATATGCACAAACATAACACATCAATAGATTTAATTCACAGC